GTAATCCATACAGACTTGACACAGCAGATTTTCCCAACACTGCAAAGACCTCTCAACCCCAAAACCCTCCTGCTCTTATCTTACAATGCCTTGAATTTTATCATCTGAATCTTAATTCTTGGATTAAAGTATTGGCCCCTTTTAAATTGCCAGATTATCACATTGAGAAGGGACTCTTTTAGTTTCATCAATCATTTCTACCCTCCACTGAAAGAAAGACCCAGAAAAGACCTAGATATATCAAAGACACTGGGCATCTTCAGAGCTGAGAGAGGAGGAACCATGAAGGGAAGAAGAGACCCGAATGGGGATTGATGGGGAAATCCCACCACATAACACGGTCCATGATATGGCTGAATCTCTTCATCCTTATTCCATTTTTTTCCTCCATCACCAACTGCATATGTTAAACTATGCAAACTAGGAAAATTGGTTAAGAATTTTTGCTTTCTTGCAGATATTTGGTGGAAAAGGAACTGAGTCATAAATCAACTCTGCAAGTGTGTATCAGTTACAGAGTGTCTTTTCTGTGCAAGGTACTGCACTAGATGCTTATTTTTCCTGTACCATTGAATCTTCACATGGCCTTCAAGGCTAGTGTTAACCACAAAGATGCAGTGCCAGCATCTATGAATCTAAGGACATCACTGAGCCTCTCAGATTCTCACTCTTCAGCTGTGTAAAGTAGGCCTGTGTTGATCATACCTATATTGTAAAACTGAGGGATACCAGGCAGACGCAACTGAGCCTCCTCAAGTTTGCTGCAAGAATGAAGGAGACTTCCTTACTTTCTAAAGGGAGCAGATCCAGTGACATGGAGCATTCCCTACAGACCTTAAGGCATCTTCTCTTTATTTTGGGGGTGTTTTATTAAGACAGAGTCTTACTCTGTCATCCTGGGTACAGTGTGGTGGCATCATAGCTCACAGCAACCTCCAACTCTTGGGTGCAAACAAACTTCTTGCCACAGCCTCCTGAGTAGCTGGGACTACAGGCTCCTACCACAACACCCAGCTAGTGGTACCTTCTCTTTAATGTCCTAGAATAATATTCAGGACACCTCGACATGGGAATAAAACTCTACATATGTTTTTCCTTTTGTTTAAATTTGTCCAGGTTCACTTTCTACCTCTAGGGCTGGAGAATCTCATCCTTAAATAGGAAAGTTCCCCTTCCTCATAGCAACATTCAAAGTGGACTTTCAGTTAACCCATCAATCCTCTAATCATTAAGATTCCTCAACTTTGGAATACTTCTTGCAAACCTGCATGGTCCACCAGTAAACTCCTTCTTTTTATAAAATAAGCACACTTCAGCTTATCACATGAAGAAGAGGTGTTTCCAAAATAAGGGTCAATTCTATAAATAATTGTTTTTATATTATAATATTATAGAGGTACAAATGTTTTTGGTTATATTAATTGCTTTTGTACAGTTTGAGTGAAAGTTATAAGTGTACCCTTCACCCAGATAGTGTGCATTGTACCCATGAGGTGTGAATTCATTCATTTCCCCCCGCCTTCCATCTGCTTGGTATCCATTGCATTTTACCTCCATGTGTTCACATGAATGTTGACCAATTAGTTCCAATCGAATAGTGAGAACATGAAGCATTTGTTTTTCCATTCTTGTGATACTCACTTAAAAGAATGGTCTCCAGTTCCATCCAGGTTGTTACAAAAGGTATTAGGTCACCATTTTCTTTTATGGCTGAGTAACACTCCATGGCATACATATACCTTATATTATTAACCCACCCATGTATTGATGGGCACTCGGGTTGATTCCACATCTTTGTGATTGTGAATTGTGCTGCAATAAACATTCAAGTCTAAGTGTTCTTTTGATAAAATTACTTTTTTTTTTCCTTTAAGTAAATATACAGCAATGGGATTGCTGGATCAAATGGTAGGTCTATGTCTAGTTCTTTGAGGGATCACATAGAGATTGAACTAGTTTCCAGTCCCACCAACAGTATATATTAAGTGTTTTTCTCTTTCCTCATCCACACCAGCATCTGTTGTTTGGGGACTTTTTGATAAAAGCCATTCCCACTGGAGTTAAGTGATGCCTCTGTGTGTGTGTGTGTGTGTGTGTGTGTTTTGCATTTCCCCGATGATTAGAGATGTTGAACATTTTTTCATGTTTATTGGCCATTAGTCTATCTTCTTTGCAAAAGCTTCTGCTTATGTCTTTTGCCCACTTTTTTATGGGGTTGTTTGATGTTTTTCTTTGATTTTTTAAGGAGTAATTGTCAGTCTCAATTTATTAAGCAAACATTCCATCTCAAGACCCATTAGCCTTTTACACAAAAGCAATCCTCAAACTCTATTAAGTAGTCACTGTTATCCCCATTTTTAAAATGAGGAAATCAAAACTCCAAAAGGCTAAATGAGTTGCCTGACACTCCACAGCTAGCAGGTGGCCTAGTCAGGATTAGAGCCAGGCTTGTCCTGATGCCTACCAGAATCATAACCATGACCTTGCCCACTCCACTTGCTGCTAACCTGAACAGGTGCCGTAGATGGCTTTGTATCACATGTCTCAGGTGTCTACCATGCCAAATGGCAGAGCCTCCACATGACGAGTAAGGGCTCCAGTACAGCTGGTTTTATTTTAGATTCCAGTAAATCAAATAAAATTATCTTGGAGTTTTTTCATGTGGCTCTCCATGTGGATCTACATTTGCACTAAATTGTGTCAAAGTTTGCTATGGATTCCTCCTTTTTCTTCCAATGCAAAGAATCCTCTCTTGACTTTCAGAAGTCCACCCACCCTTCATAAACAAGTGAACATAGGAAAAAGCCTGTACTCATACTGACAAGATCAGGATTAAATGAAGGATATCTGAAACTCCACCCTGATGACACTATGGTGATGGCAAAAAGGAGCTTCTCATTCTCTCCCTTTCCAAATCTGAGAGTGTTAGCACTGAAAAATAAGCAGCAGGAACTATTTATAGTGGAGAGGATGGGCCAATTCCAAGGGCATCTCTCTCTTTTTTTTAATTAATTAATTTTTTTATTAAATCATAGCTGTGTACACTAATGCAATCATGGCATACAATGTGCTGGTTTTATATACAATTTGAAATATTTTCATCAAACTGTTTAACATAGCCTTCATGGCATTTCTTAGTTATTGTGTTAAGACATTTATATTCTACACTTAGTAAATTTCACATGTACCCTTATAAGATGCACCATAGCTGTGGTCCCACCAGTTACCTTAAGGGCATCTCTAACAGATGTAAGTTCCAGGAAAAACATGAAGAAGGTGATGAGCCCTTAACTGACAATGAGTAGACACAGGTTGATTTGTGAACACCAAGGATGCTAAAATGAAGTGGCTGTCCTAAACCAAGCAAGAAAAATTCAGAGCAAATACAGAAACTATTACTTCCCAAATTGTGAAGTTACTGCCTTGGAGTTATTTCCATCAACATACAAGTTACCAAGCTTTGTGTACTGTGACACAAACACTCACATGTGTCCACATATACTTACACATGAAAAGTGCACAACAAATTAATAGTTGTTATTTCAGGAGCTAGAATGTTGTAATGATCTGTTCCAATGTTTTTCTACATCAATCAGAAGCTACACATAATTTTTCATTTCAATATTTCACATTGATATATTGATAAAATTATCTTGGAGTTTTTCATACAGTTTCTAAATTCATACTTATTTCCATTTTGAAAAATAAAATAAATATTCTAAAATATAGTTTAAAAGCCCATTAAGGTGATTTTGTTGATCTCCAAATGAAGGATCCAGATATATTCCAAACTTTAGAGATCATTTACCATAAAGCCATAGGCCCTCTGACCTCACTTTTCTGGTGCCTTCTATAGGGTTAGCTTCAGAGGGCAGTGGACAGCAATTATTTTCTAGTTAATGTGGATTGAGACTTAGTGTGGATGTTTAATGGCTCATACTGATGGGCATTCTAGGGAATTTTCTGATGTTGAGAGATGCTTCATGCACTGAAAATTAAAAGGATTTGATTGAGGATCCTTTTAACTTAGGTTTTAAATAGCAACAACAACAAACACTTATAAAATAATTACTGTGGGCCAGGTATGTTCTAAAGGAGATAAATGATAGATAGATAGATAGATAGATAGATAGATAGATAGAGATAATAGATAGATCCTACAAAAAAGTAAAAGACATTATTAACTCTAATTGCACAGAGATAAATAGAGAGGTCAAATAATCTGCCCAACATCACACATTGGCTAAGTGCCACTGGGAATTGAATCCAGGGAGTCTAGACCCAGAGCCAAACTACTAACAGTCAAAATAGCTTAGAGAGCTCAGACTGTGGCACATTTGAAATCAGAACTACATCAGTATGAGTTATTCAGACCTGACAGTTTACATCTAAGAACATTTCTACACACCTGTGGCCTAATTCTTTTCATTGAAAACATTCTGTCCACTTGATCATCTCACAACTACATAGCTGACCTTGGTCCCATTGATCTTTTCATTCTAATTTTAAAACTTGAGTCAAAGTCTTTCTGGGCAAGACCTAACTCATTTGGGGCACACAGAACTGTCCCAATAATAACCCACAGGCCACTTATTCTGTTAGGTACTTTACACACATTGCCTTATATAATCCTTAAAGCAAGTCTGTAAAGTAATTGCTATCATTCAGTTTAAGATAAGGAAATTGAAACAAGATGTTAAGTATCTTAACCAAAGTGGCACAAGTTTTAAAATGTTGGGAGCAGAATTTGATCCTAGGGAGTCTGGATGCAAAATTTAAACTCTCATCAGCTACACCATACTGCCTAAATATTAATTTTTAAGAGAATGACTGTAATTGCCCTCTTTGAGAGAGATGCTGAGATCAAGACAGAGACAGAGAAAAAAGGATCTTGGCATAAAGTTGTAATCCTCTGCTCTGCTTCTCATGCATTGTGTGCCTATTTGCTCATACTACCTGCATCATGGGTTATCATTATTATCCCAGGTCTGCATCTTGTCCTTGGGGTCCATGGGAAACATGTCCACAACCAAGGACTGGAACAGCTCGTCGGTCACTATGTTCATCCTCCTGGGATTCACAGACCATCCAGAACTCCAGGCCTTTCTCTTCATGACCTTCCTAGGCATCTACTTTGTGACTCTGGCCTGGAACCTGGCCCTCATCATTCTGATCCGAGGGAACACCCATCTGCACACACCCATGTACTTCTTTCTCAGCAACTTGTCCTTCATTGACATCTGCTACTCTTCCACCGTGGCTCCCAAGATGCTCACTGACTCCTTCCAGGAACAGAAGACCATCTCATTCATGGGCTGTGCTACCCAGTTTTTTTTCTTTGTGGGCCTGGGTCTAACTGAGTGCTTTCTCCTGACAGCCATGGCATATGACCGACACGCAGCCATCTCCAGCCCCCTTCTCTACACCACCATCATGTCCCAGGACGTCTGTACACGCATGGTGGTTGGGGCCTATGTCGGTGGTTTTCTGAGCTCCCTAATCCAGTCCAGCTCTATATTCCGGCTCCATTTCTGCGGACCCAAGGTCATCAACCACTTTTTCTGTGACCTTCCACCTGTCCTGGCTCTGGCTTGCTCTGACATCTTCCTCAGTCAGGTGGTGAATTTCCTCGTGGTGGTCACTGTTGGGGGCACGTCATTCCTCATCCTCCTTATCTCCTACAGTCACATAGTGTCTGCAGTCCTGAAGATCCACTCCACAGAAGGCCGATGGAAAGCTTTCAACACGTGTGCCTCGCACCTTATCGTGGTGACTCTGTTGTTTGGGACAGCCCTTTTCATGTACCTGCGACCCAGCTCCAGCTACTCACCTGACAGGGACAAGGTAGTATCCGTGTTCTATGCACTGGTGATCCCCATGCTGAACCCTCTCATCTACAGTTTGAGGAACAAAGACATCAAGAGTGCTCTGTGGAGGGTGCTGGAGAAAAAGAAAGTGTTTTCCTAGACCATGAGTAGAAACATACTTCTCCAAACTGCTGCAGACTTAAATGATCCAAGGCATCACACCCTCCTCTCCCTAAGGCAAGGGAGACATTTGGTGCTCATTTGGTGCTTGACAAAGGAGACTCCTCCCCCCAGATGCTCTCACCTTTCCTCATGGTCACCTGTCTACTGACCCTGCCATGGATAGCCAAAAAAGAGAAAGAAATTTCCTCAGCATAAAACAAAGACCCTCCCTAAAACAGCCTATTCAGATAATAATCCTAATAATGTTCCTTTATTGGGCATTTAATATGTATCAAATGCAAAAGTTATTTAATTAAATACTCACTGAAGTGCCACAACATACATTGCACTATCTCTATGTTACAAAATAAGGAAATAAGGTCTCAGCAGAAAAAAAAAGAAAAACTAACCTTGTGTACTCAAGGTCACACAAGAAGGAAGAGGCAGAACTCTGAGCCACACCCAGATCTTCCTGACTCCAAATGCTGCACTCCACATTCAACAACAAACTGCCCAAAAGTTATAGTATATAACTCCTGTTATTAGCACGTGGCAGAATTTGAAAAGATAATGGTAGGTATAGTTGAGATAAATTATAAGAACAAGATGCAGGCCAGGCAAGGTAGTTGATGCCTGCAATCTCAGCATTCTGGGAGGCAAACGTGGGTGGATTGCCTGAGCTCAAGAGTTCAAGACCAGCCTGAGCAAGAATGAGCCCCCATCTCCTAAAACTAGCCAGGCGTTTCAGCGGTACCTGTAGTCCCAGCTACTTGGGAGGCTGAGGCAGTAGGATCAGTTGAGGCCAAGAGTTTGAGGTTGCTGTGAATTATGACACCACAGCACTCTGCCCAGCATGACAGAATAAGACTCTGTCTCAAAAATAAATAAATAAATAAATAAATAAATAAAACAAGGTACCTATTCAATTGATCTCCAAGAGATCTCTCCATTATCTCCTTATTAGATTTCTGTGACAGCTGCTCCTGATTTGCTAAGCAAATCCTGAGGGACAACGTCCTTTGCTGCCCTTTCTCTCTATCTCAGCGAGGTAGGGCCTGGAAAACTTGAGTCTAATAGTGTCACTTGAGTCCAATAGTGTCACGCTAATGCTCTTCTCTTCCTAGTCTCAGTCACTTAAACTGCCTACTTGGTCAGTATCTCCTTGAAATACTCACCCCTTCACAGCTCAGCCCCAACTCCACTTAGCAGTTTGATGTCCCCTTCAATTGCTGAATCTTCCTTGCTTTCTTCTATGTGAACCCACGGCCCTTGTCAAATCCCTGCTTCTTCACTTGAATGAACTAACACTGAAAGCTCCACCTTGGGTATAATTGATTTGCCCTCATCTCAGGGAGGTGCATCCCAGGCTCTCACCTTCAGGTGATCCCCTTCTTGGGGTGTCATCCACACAACTACTTCTTGTAGTAAATCCCTCTCTCATTTTGCTGTGGCACTGGACACTCCCAACACATTCATTTTTCTATTAGTGTTAGCCAACTGGATACACAGATATTTGGTTTGATTGGTCATATAAGCATTTTTTTTCCTCCATATCTGGAAGAACATAAACAATCCACAAGGAAGGAGAGATTTCTGCCTCATGTCTCCCGAGTTCTGTAATCTCTTAAATTCATTCTCATCCAAAGCCAAGGGAATTTAGAATCACATATATAGGTATACAGATTAGGGAAGGGGTGGAAAGAGGAGAGAGAAAGACAAAGAGAGAGAGAGAGAGGATGTTTCTTGAGTGTTACTATGTTTCAAGCCCTATTCTAAACATTTTATACTTATCAACTCACTGACTCTCCAACCAGACAGCCAGTGAGTGAAATCTGACTCAGCCTGGCTCCTGAGATTAAACTCTTCAGCACTATGTTACAGTGGGGCCTGTGATTTAAGTTGATAGAGGATGTTTTACAGACCAAATATACCACCCAGAGAAAATGCTAGAGTAACTCACCTCATGCCTTCCCCTTCTGTCCATTCCCAGTGTCCCACTCCTCCATTTTTCCATTGTCTATCTTCCAAAATGTAGGCTCAAAGCAAAGGCCATAGTTAGGTCTAGAATTCAAGAACAATTGCTGTCAGGGTCAGACTGACATGTGAGAGACTGCGACAATGAAGTCAGTAAAACTGTAGAAAAGAGAAGTTGACAGTACATCTTTGTGTTAAGAAATATTCACTTTACAGAAATGTAAGCCCATGAATAAAAAAAAATACAGATATTTTAACATCACAAGGGAAACTCAAGAAAGAATATGGGAAGAAGAGATTTGCTGATCCTCACTAATATTTGGTTTGCAGTTATTTTATCTGTCTATTCAGGCATTATTAAATAGTGGCTCTGCTCATGGGATCTAGAGTCAAACCAACCTGGGTTTGAATTCTGGCCTCCCCCTCTTTTTTAGCTATCTGATATTAGAAGCTCAACAAGTCTAACATAGTAGTGATAAGAGCATTGTGTGTAATGCCCAAAAGTGACTATCACCAGATCTTGCACATAGCAAACACTCAATAATGGTAGCTTAAAAAAAAATGGTAGTAGAGGTAGAGGCAGTGACAGCAACAGTAATAGTAATGATTCAACCAAAAGTTGTTAAGTGTCTAATACATGTACCAGACATGGACAGAAACAAAGAAAGATGAATAAGACAATATCCGTCCTGCAACATTTTACAATATTAAAGGTAAGGATTTCAGGGTTAATTTTTGGCCTAAATTTAAAATATTGTTAATATTTTAAACATTTTAAGTATTTTGATATGATCAATGTGCTTCTGGTTTTGCTGCCTTCTTTGTTGCATAGATATGCTATTACAAGCGCTGTGGGTTTCTTTCCAATGCTATTGTGAAAGGGTACCAACCAAAGGGTGCAAAGGAGAGCTCTGGGAAACAGTATTGAAATATTCCTGAAATTTAAAACTCAGATACGCAAGTCCTTAAAAAGTAATAGTTTATTATCACTTGGCTTAATTGTTTCTTAAAAATCAAATATTAAAAGAATCTTTTCTTTTTTTTTTTTTTTTTGAGATAGAGTCTCACTATGTCACCCTCGGTAGAGTGCCGTAGTATCACAGCTCACAGCAACATCTAACTCTTGGGCTTAAGTAATTCTCTTGCCTCAGTTTCCGGAGTAACTGGGACCACAGGCACCCATCACAACACCTCTCTATGTTTGGTTGTTTGTTGCAGTTGTCATTGTTGTTTTAGTTGGCCTGGGTGGGATTTGAACCCACCAGCCTCTGTGTATGTGTTTGGCACCCTACCCACTACAGGCACCACCCAAATATTAAAAGAATCTTGAGGGAGTCATAGTTTAAAGGAACTCTGCCAAATCCAGGGTTAAACTAATATATGGCCTTCTCATCTTTAAACTAAATAGGCCCATATCTAGCATATTTATTTGCTTTTGAAATTATTTTTATTTTTAATTATTATGAGTACACGATATATTTATATAGTACATGTGCTGTTTTGATACAGACATTCTTTGTAGGCTTTTTTCACATCTCTTCTCATTCCACTTATAAAGAAGGTTGACCCATTGTCGCGTCATCCTTCCTTGGACTTGGCCATGAAACCTTATACTCATACCCACCATTAATTCCCAAATAACTTCTCTTGTTCAATTCTCTACCATAAAAAAAGAAAATGAAATTAGGCACTCCAACATAAGCATTAGAACATATCCTTGAGGCTGGGCATGGTGGCTCACGCCTATAATCCCAGCATTCTGAGAGGCCAAGGCAGGTGGTTTGCCTGAGCTCAAGAGTTTGAGACCAGCGTAAGCAAGAGGGAGACCTTACCTTTATTAAAAAATAGAAAAACTAGCCAGGCATTGTAGCAGGCACCTGTAGTCTCAACTATTCTGGAAGTTGAGGCGTGGGGATCACTTAAGACCAAGAATATGAGGCTGCTATGAACTATGATGCCATGGCACTCTAGCCAGGCAACAGAGTGAGACTCTGTCTCAAAAAAAAGAACATGCCCTTGAACTCATATGTAACTATTGGCCCTTCTATGGCTTCTGCTGTGCTAGCCATGTGTCTTAGTCTGTTTTGTGCAGCTATAAAGGGATACCTAAGAGTAAGTTATAAAGCAATCAGACTTCTGATTGCTGGAAAGTTTGTGGTTGTGTTGCATCTGTTGAGGACCTCATGCTGCTTCCACTCATAGTGGAGCCAGCATGTGCAGAGACCACATGGGGAGAGAGGAAAGAAGAGGGAATGGGCAGTGTCAGTCTCTCTTTAATGAGCAGCTCTCACAGGATCTAACAGAGTGAGAACTCACTCACCCCCTAAGGAGGACATTGATCTACTCATGAGGGATCTGACCCCATGTCTAAAGCCCCTGTCATTAAGTCCCAACTCCAACATTGGATGATGGTTACATGGGATTTGTTCTATAATCATGCTTTATTTTGCTGTCAGTAAACTATAACCTATAATTTTTTTAAGTTTTTTTAAAGATATTTAATATGTAAATGGTCTCAATACACCAATTAAAAATCAGACTACAGAGTGGATTAAAAAACCAAAATCTAAGTTTATAGTTTCTACAAGTAACCCACTTTAAATATAAAGACATAGGTAGATTAAAAGTAAAGAAATGGAGAAAGATATACCATTTAATCACTAACAAGAAGAAATCTGTGGAAGGTACACCAATTTAAGATAAAGAAGACTTCATAACAAGGAAAATTATCAGAAATAAAGACTAGGTCTTTATAATTATAATGATGAAAGGGTCAATTTGTCAATAATACATAACAATCCTTAGCATGCATGCACCTAATAACAAAGGATCAAACTATATGAGGCAAGCTCTTTTACCAAGGACCTGCCAACATGAGCCATGTTTGCACCAAAACCATGAAGAAGGTGGCCTGGGTCGTCATGGAGAAGTACTACACGCATCTGGGCAATGACCTTCACACAAACAAGCAGGTGGGCAAGGAGATCGCCATCATCCCCAGCAAGAAGCTCCACAAGATAGCGACCTATGTCACACACCTGATGAAATGGATCCAGAGGGGCCTAGTGAGAGGCATCTCCATCAAGCTGCAGGAGG